AGGATTCTCCAGAAAAACAGAACCAGTGGTGTGTGTGTGTGTGTGTGTGTGTGTGTGTGTGTGTGTGAGAGAGAGAGAGAGAGAGAGAGATTTTAAGGAACTGGCTCACAAAATAGTGAGGGCTGGCAAGTCCAATGCAGGCCAACTGAATACCCAGGGAAGAGTTGATGTAGAGGCTCAAGGCTGAAGGTAGCCTGGAGGCAGAATTCCTTCTTCCTCAGGAGACTTCAGTCTGTTTCCTCTTGAGGCCTGCAACTGATTAGATGAGGCCCACCATATTATAGAGGGTAATCTGCTTTACTCAAAGTCTAAACACCAGTATATCTCATTTAAAAAAAATCTTCACAACAATATCTAGACTGGCATTTGACCAAATATCTGCATTGTGTGGCTTAGCCAGGCTGACACATAAAATTAACCACCACAAGGGGTAACCAAGAACATGATGGATTGTGACTCAAATTTTGAAGTTTCTTCTGTGTGAGAGAGGTCCTGTCCTTTCCAGTATCCCACCTGTCCAATTTTAGCCATTTAGCAGCCTCAAATTTCCATCTTTGTTTCCTCTACCTGGTGACACTACTATCAGTTGCCACTTGATCTCTGTTTCTGTGTGCTGGTTTGAAATGTTTTTAAGGAGCAAACCCTGGTGAATGTCAGGCCTACCTTGTATGTTTCTCTGCATTGGTTGCTGTCCAATGCCTTATTTTACATATTTGTTCAGATGTATTGCTGTTTATAGGAGGGTAAGATATGACCAGCTACTCTTCATAGCCAGAACTAAAAGCCAGGTTGGGCTGCTTAACAAACTCTCTAGCTGGTCTTTTTTCCCTACTCCTCTCTCTACAGTGTACTCTCTTATTCTCCACCCATAACAAGTGGTCTTACAGAAATTTAAGTCAGCTGAAAACACTCCCTTGCCAAACTCTTCAATAGCTTCTCATCACAATGAGAATGAAATCAAAGATCCTTACACTAGCCTACAAAGTCTACCATGCCCTAAACTCTGCTCCCCTCTCCAGTCTTATCTATGTCACCCCCCTTCTCGCCCACTGGCCTTCTCTCTGTTTCTTGAATATGCCTAATTGGTTCCTGACCTAATTTAATTGCCCTCTCAATTTCCAGTCCCCTTCCATTTCAATGTAACTCCATTAAAGCAGGAACCTTGCCTGAACGGCTGTATCCTCAGCACTTAGAGTGGTGCCTGGCACATTGTAGATTCTCAACCAAATCAAAATTTATTCAATGAGTGAATAAACCTAGATAGATCCAGGGCTGGGCTACTTGCTGTAACAAGCATGTTAATGAACAGTAATTTGTTTTGTCTGCCACTTGTGTGGCTTCCAATTTGGAAGGACGCTCTAAATGCAATATTGCCTTCCTTGGTTTGCATTAAGCATCTTTTGGTATGTGTTTGTCCTGTGTCATGGCATTCGTTGAGTGCCTGCCATGTTTTTTCAGCAGAAGAGATGTTAAGAGCACAACTCCGGGGGGCCAGACAGGATGGCCTATCAATCTTGTTTTGCTACATTTTAGCTCTGTCGCCTGGACAAATTAATACATTTCCCTAATCCTTAATTTCCCCATCTGTGAAATAAAATGAAAGTAATCCTTATACTGAATACCCAGGGAAGAGTTGATGTAGAGGCTCAAGGCTGAAGGTAGCCTGGAGGCAGAATTCCTTCTTCCTCAGGAGACTTCAGTCTGTTTCCTCTTGAGGCCTGCAACTGATTAGATGAGGCCCACCATATTATAGAGGGTAATCTGCTTTACTCAAAGTCTAAACACCAGTATATCTCATTTAAAAAAAATCTTCACAACAATATCTAGACTGGCATTTGACCAAATATCTGCATTGTGTGGCTTAGCCAGGCTGACACATAAAATTAACCACCACAAGGGGTAACCAAGAACATGATGGATTGTGACTCAAATTTTGAAGTTTCTTCTGTGTGAGAGAGGTCCTGTCCTTTCCAGTATCCCACCTGTCCAATTTTAGCCATTTAGCAGCCTCAAATTTCCATCTTTGTTTCCTCTACCTGGTGACACTACTATCAGTTGCCACTTGATCTCTGTTTCTGTGTGCTGGTTTGAAATGTTTTTAAGGAGCAAACCCTGGTGAATGTCAGGCCTACCTTGTATGTTTCTCTGCATTGGTTGCTGTCCAATGCCTTATTTTACATATTTGTTCAGATGTATTGCTGTTTATAGGAGGGTAAGATATGACCAGCTACTCTTCATAGCCAGAACTAAAAGCCAGGTTGGGCTGCTTAACAAACTCTCTAGCTGGTCTTTTTTCCCTACTCCTCTCTCTACAGTGTACTCTCTTATTCTCCACCCATAACAAGTGGTCTTACAGAAATTTAAGTCAGCTGAAAACACTCCCTTGCCAAACTCTTCAATAGCTTCTCATCACAATGAGAATGAAATCAAAGATCCTTACACTAGCCTACAAAGTCTACCATGCCCTAAACTCTGCTCCCCTCTCCAGTCTTATCTATGTCACCCCCCTTCTCGCCCACTGGCCTTCTCTCTGTTTCTTGAATATGCCTAATTGGTTCCTGACCTAATTTAATTGCCCTCTCAATTTCCAGTCCCCTTCCATTTCAATGTAACTCCATTAAAGCAGGAACCTTGCCTGAACGGCTGTATCCTCAGCACTTAGAGTGGTGCCTGGCACATTGTAGATTCTCAACCAAATCAAAATTTATTCAATGAGTGAATAAACCTAGATAGATCCAGGGCTGGGCTACTTGCTGTAACAAGCATGTTAATGAACAGTAATTTGTTTTGTCTGCCACTTGTGTGGCTTCCAATTTGGAAGGACGCTCTAAATGCAATATTGCCTTCCTTGGTTTGCATTAAGCATCTTTTGGTATGTGTTTGTCCTGTGTCATGGCATTCGTTGAGTGCCTGCCATGTTTTTTCAGTAGAAGAGATGTTAAGAGCACAACTCCGGGGGGCCAGACAGGATGGCCTATCAATCTTGTTTTGCTACATTTTAGCTCTGTCGCCTGGACAAATTAATACATTTCCCTAATCCTTAATTTCCCCATCTGTGAAATAAAATGAAAGTAATCCTTATACCGTAAGAGTTTTTAAGGAGGTTAACTTAAGTAATGCATGTAAATTATTTAGACTGTATTTTGGCCTTGTATTTTAAACATTCAAAAAACAGTTAGTGTTATTATTAAATATCATTAGTTTCTGTGGTGACAGTAGCTATTTGATGGCAGTCGGGATTAATAGAAGTGTTAGTGGGGGATGGCATTGGGTGAGGTTGAAACATTGTGCCTAAAAGTCCCCTTTTTCAGGAAGATTTCCCCAATAAACCACCCTCTGGTTATGTCTTGGCTTCCTGCTCTCATCACATACATACTGAGTGTTGTCAGTTGCCTCTTTTTATAAATTATTTTTTCTTTTCCTTGAATATCCTTATTGGTGCAGCAAGGCCCTACTTTCTTAAGAATTTTTAAGTGTTTAATCGCGTGTTCCCTTCTATCCCAGTCCCTTTTCCATTAGCAGCCATTGTAAAATATTTAATGTGTATTAAGTATTCTCGTAAATGTGTACTAATCTTGTGTGCTTGTACTTCTAGTTTCCATAAACGCTATTGCATTATTATCTGTGGCTGTGTTTCTCACATTTGTTTCCCCAAGTCCTGACTTGTGCTATGCATGTGTTGCTGCGGACACACCCCCTGGGTGATGGTTAGAGGTGCAAAGAACTGCATGGTGGGTGGGCGTTTCTCACTTTTACCTGTTCGTTCCCCCACTGATTTTCAGATTACTTTACATTCCCCACCACCAAAAACTGCAGAGAAAACCCCTGTGCATGTCACTCTCTAACTGTGATGAGAATTTCTTTAGGAGATATTTCAGGGTGTGGAACTGTTGAGACAGAGTAGGAAATGGCCTGTTCCTTGGTAATTGTTCTCACATATCTCTTTCTGGATACAGGTTGTGTATCCCTAATTAGCTTGTGAACTACAGGGTCAGCTCTTAGAACTTTAAACAAAAAATAGTGAAGGAAGATCAGGTCCAACATTGGGATAAATAGAGACACAAAAGGGCAAGTGGAACACAAGAAGAATTGTTCAATTTCTGTGTGACTGTAAAAATGCAAGTAGAGAAATTGTGCCTCTTATTTGCTATTTTTATAGCCAATCCACAAGAGGATTTGCTGGCATTACTTGTATAGCAGGTGGAGAGTCCAGAACACAATTACACCCAAAAAGGAAAAATTAACACCAAAAAGAATCCAGGAACTAGTGGGATGTGACTGGTTGGCATACACCCTCTACCGGGCAGAGAGGAAGAGAAATTGTGCCTCTTATTTGCTATTTTTATAGCCAATCCACAAGAGGATTTGCTGGCATTACTTGTATAGCAGGTGGAGAGTCCAGAACACAATTACACCCAAAAAGGAAAAATTAACACCAAAAAGAATCCAGGAACTAGTGGGATGTGACTGGTTGGCATACACCCTCTACCGGGCAGAGAGGACATGACCTTATCCCTGATTAGAACACATTCTAATTTGGGATCATGTACAGTTAGCAAATCCTAGTGTCCAAGACCCTGCAGGGGGCTAGAAGGATTGAGTTCTAAAAGTAGATTCATTCTTTTTTGTTTCTATTTTTATTTTGGACAAGCTTCAAACCTTAGAAAGTTTCAAGAATAACACAATGAACACCTTTCTGCCCCTGAGCAAGATTCGTTGTTACCACATTGCTACATTTTATCTATCTACCTCTTTTATCTATCTACCTTCTATCAGTCTTTCTATTTATCTGTCTCTAAATCCATCATCTGCCATTTGAACGTTCCCCCATCAATCTTCAGCATCCTTTTCTAAGAACAAGAGCCTTCTCACCAATAACCACAAATTTAACATCTGTACAATGCTATTATCTAATGCCCAGTCCATATTCAAATGTCTAGAATGGAGTTCAGCAATTTGTTCAATAGGTAGCCAGATGATAAATATTTTTGGCTTTGCAGGTCAGATAGTCTCTGTGGCAAGTACTGAACTCTGCTGCGGTAGAACACAAGCAGCCACAGGCAAAGGTAACACACGTGGGTGTGCTGGGGGCCCAATAAAATTTTATTAACAAAAACAGGTGGTGGGCTGGGCTAGACTCTTTTTCTTTTAACAATTAGTACAAGATTCTGTTTTAGGGTCAGTAAATCTCACAGTTGAGGTATAATATAGACATCAATCTTGGTTTTGAAAAGGTTTTGCCGCAGATGGTATTACTCAACCGCATGTGACTCTACCTCTTACATTTCTTCATTTCTATGAATCCAGTTTCTACAGATCCACCTCTTACTCCTTTATTTGAGCAACATCAATGGCTACCATTAATATTGCAGAATTTTATCTTCCTTCTGTATTCTTTTTTAAAACTGTGGTAAAATATACATAATGTAACATTTAGCATTTTAGCTATTTTTTAAGTTCATCGGCATGAAGAACATTCACATTGTTCTGCAATCAACACTGCTGTCCATTCCCAGAACATTTCCATCTTCCCCATCTGAAACTCTGTCCCCATGAGACACATAACTCCCCATTCTCCCCACTTCCCCCAGCCCCTGGCAACCATCATCCTCCGTTTTGTCTTCATGAATCCGACCGCTCCCGGCAGCTCGTAGCAGGGGAGTCATACACTGCTTTTTTACATCTGGCTTGTTCATTTAGTTTGTTTCAGGGTTCATTCCTGTTGTAGTGCGTGTTAGGATTTCCTTCATTTTTAAGGCTGAATGATATTCCATTGTATGTATATACCACACTTTGTTTATCCGTTCACCTGTTTGTTGATGGACACTTGGGTGGCTTCCACCTTTGGCAATTGTGAATAATGCTGCTGTAAACATGGCTCTGGACTCATACTTAAAGCAGTCATTTTCTTTCTCTCTAGGGGCTAGAAGGGGGGATAGGATCTAACAACAGATACGACTTTCACACAGCATAATAGTGTCCTTTAGAAATCGGCTTAATAGAAAGTATGTACATGAACAACGCGCTCATTGCTCCTCCCTCCCCTCCTTCCTTCAGGGCCTGAGCGGCTCTTGCCTGGACATTGCAGCAGCCTCATCCCCTTGCCTCTGGATTCGCCCTGTCCCACAATGCCGCTCGAGTGGGCTACCCAGAATGTGAAGTCGATCACATCGCTGCCCTCCTCTAGACTTTTCCATAGCTCCTTATTTCCTGCAAGACCAAGTCCAAAGGGCTCAGCCTGGCATATCGGCCGCAGTGTCCCGGCTCTTACCGATCCCCCATTCTTGCCTCTTGTCGCTTCCAGCCTCTTACCAAGCTGCTGTTTACCATCTCTTCCTCCAGAGTAAATAAAAACAATAAATGGTGCTGCTTGGTGTCCAAAGCCTTTGTTTACTGTGTTTGTTTCATCTACCCAGACAGCTTTTCCTCTCTTTTCTTTGCTGGGTTATACCCACTTATCCTTTAAGATTAAACTCCAGCAGCAATGCTTCCAGGAAGCCCGTCCCAGACATAGCCTCACACCTGTGCCCTCCATTCTCGGTATCCAGTGTTTATTCCTGGCCTTAGCATCGTATTGAAATGATGTCTATAAGTTTGTCCTCCCAAGTGATTTAACCTCCTAAAGGATAGGGACTATGCTTCAGTCATCTTTCCACTCCCAGTGCCCAACAGAATGCCAGATACCTAGTAAGTGATTAATAAATGCCTTCTGGATTGAATAAAGCCACAGGTTCTCAGGTAGGCGTGCTAAGCTTTTTGTAAGCCGCTCCTGTGTATCTGACCAGCTTCATTCCCTGCTATTCCAGTGTCTCTTTTGCCCCAGTTCCAATGCTTCCCTAAATAAGCAATGAAATTTCATGCCTCTGGGCCAATGGTCATTTCCAACTCTCCCTCTGGAATTCCTTACACTGCCTTTCCTTAGATACTCCTATTCATCCTTCAACACCCAGCCTAAATATCTTCTATGCTGAGAAGTTGACTCTGAATTCCCTGATTCTGCCAGACAGGAGGACTCTTCGGCTATTTTTGCTCTTTGTTGCGTGGAATAACCCTATGACAAACAACATCACATTATACTGTAAGTCACATATATCTTTCTTTTCCCATAGACTGCCCCTTGACCTAAGGGATTCTATTTTATTCATCTTTGTGTTTCCAAAGCCCAGCACAGTGCAAGGCACATACTAGGCATTCAGGAAGTTGGATAAAAAAGAGGATGAATGAATGGTCAAACACATCTGATAGCCATAGCCTGAGGGGGCACAAGGAGAACCCGATTCTGTTTCTTTTCATACCAGGATAATATAGCCTAAGTTAATATCTGGGGCTCCGATGCTAAAAGCATGATCTCTTTCCCAACATAGTCATTTGTGTTTGAAGCTTAAGTAGCCCTGTTCCACCATGAATTTGCATGGGGATGGAGGGGCCTACTCCTTGGCTTCATAAAGGAAAAATGGAGACATAAAACTATGACTGATGACTGGCAGCATCCCACATCAAATTTTGAGGGAAAGGCCAAGATGGCCTCTGGAAAGAAGCTTCACCACAGGGTGAAGAGATGAGTTGGGCTCAGGGTCAGGGTCTGTGCTTTCACTGGGAAAAGTGCTGATGTGGGGGAAGATACAAGCAGCGCTGCTGAGGCAGTGCCCTGTTGCCATGGGAGAGGCTTGGGGAAAATGGCTGCAAACATGGCCACTGAAATGGCTATGATTTTCAGTCAAAATGCTGTGGGTCATCTGTGGAAAGGGGAACTGGGAAGCACCCTCTTACCACCAGGAGCCACACTAGCCTGGGCAAATCGTCAAAGGCCTACCCTGGGCCTGGTGAGGGCGGGTGGCTCTGTGTTCACACTGGTTGTTTCCAGGCGTGCAGGTCGGCGGGCAGGTGGCCTGGTTGGAGCCTGGTGGCCGCACTGCTGGGGCTTCAGCCCAGGGCTTGGTGAGGACAGACCTCTGGCTCGTGGCCACAAGGAGGCTGGCAGAGCAGGCTGCCTGAGTGGGTCAGTGAGTGGAGGCAGGTCTGGGGGTGTCGGTCTGGGTCACTGTCACCGCTGCAGGGGGATGATGAGGAAGACTAGTTCATAGATCCGTGTAAGCGTTTCTGGAGAAGTTCTAAAGCCTTTTGAGAGAGCTACTCAGGAAGAGACAGGAATTCTTGCTAGAAGCAATGTGGACTTGAGGCCCTTATAATCTAGGCCAAATCATGAATATGACCTCTTTTGGTTTTGCAGGTTGGTAAAACCAGGGACACAGCGGTTACACAGATAAATGCAAGCTTTTAACTGTTGAAGTGAAAGATGCAACTAGAAAGGAAATCACTGCCCGTGAAGGATGCCAGGGTGTGCTCGTCCACCTGGACCTTTCACACAGGGCGCAGTTGTAGGCTTTCCCGTTTTCCTGTGCTTGGTTGGTTACGTTGCTCCTGCCCATGCCATTTGTGAAGGACCCTGAGCTCAGAGCTCCTCAGTCTGCCGGCCACCTGCCGGCAGGTGCATCCCGAAGGGTGCACCCGTAGCCCTGGTTTCCCCCTTCCTGATCCAGGAAGCCTTGGAACATGGCTTCCCCCACCCAGAGCCTCCCGCTCAGTGACGGGCCAGTCCCTCCACCAACCTCTCCTCTCACGTCCTCTTGGCCCGGAGATCACTTTGCTGCCATCCATGTCCCCCACACGCTGAGCCCTGTGAGCTTGAACTGCAGTAAGCTTGAACCATAGACCAAAAGTGTAAATGTCCCGACCACAAAAATCTCATAGATTGTGGGCTCAGATCCTTGGGAAGTGGTGGGCATGGCTTCCTTTATCATATTTAAGTTCTGATGGAATTAAGCTCTGAGGAACGTGTCGAGGGAGATGGAAGTGGAGCTGTTTGCCTCCCAGTTTCCCATTTTTGCAATGAATCATTCACAGCAAGTTAAGAGGGAAAAAAAAAAAGAAACAGAAGGACATTTCTCTTTGTTTCCTATTGTGGGGCTACTTTATTTGTAGAGCAGTGAGTGATGGTAAACCTCAAGTGTGCACTTGGAAATCTGTGTTTCTGGGAAGCTTTGAGCTCATCCAATAAAGAGCTAAAAGGACCGTGACTGGAAGCAATCTCTCCAACCAGCAAACACTGGGACTGAAGGAAAGAGATGCCTTTTTGCTTTAATTTTTTTCTCCACTTCCCAACTACACCCTTAAGGGGAAAAAAAAAGCTTTTTTTTTTGGAGACTATACTAGACTAGTTAATAGAACAGGATAATTCTGGATACAAGGCTGTGCAAAATAGGAGAGCATAATGAGAGGCAGTTGAATGGATGTCATTGTCTTTCACAGAGCAAGCTTTTGTCTCATTGTTTTCACCTAAGACTTCTTGCAAAACAACAGGCTTTGAAAGTGCAAGATACGCTGCTTAACTCTTGAAGAGCTGACAGACGTCACACCTTTTCCAGGAGGATTGGGACTGGAGCTTCAATCATTTTCTTTCTTCATTTCCGTGCCGTAGGTGTGACAATTAGAGAGAGCTGGTAGCTGACTCTCCTACACCCAGTTCCACGGGTGCCAGAAGGACCTGCAGATATCTTGTGGTCAAACTCTAGAGTCCTGTGTCTTATGAGCTGGGGCTGAGAGTGGCCAGGCGGAGGTAATAGTACCCACAGCAACGACAGGGCGACAGCGCAAAACCCGGGCATGACATTTCCTGCATCTGAAAAGGCTGAGTCCTTTCTATGATGCCGCGTGTGGGGCAATGCAAACAAAAGCAGGCCATTCCTAAGTATAGCCAGCTTTTGTGGGCTGTCTTTAGTCACGTTTCTACTTGGTAAAAATATCTGGATGCCTTTTGGCAGAAATCTTCACCGGTTTTTTTTTTCTTTCATTCCCCCATATTTAAGCTCTGAGGACACAAACATGAAGGAATATAATCAGAAAACTGGAGGGCTCTTCTTCAGTCCTGAGGTTATCCACATAATAAAAATTTACCGCGGGCCTGAATCAGGGGTTGTTCCAAGCCTCCGCTTCTCATCTGTGTTCATTGTAGTCTTCTGTTCTTGGAGCTAGTGCCCACCTAGGAGGAAGACAGGGTGACTGCCCTCTGACAGGTCTACGGGTTGGAGTTGGAGGGAACGCGCAGGAAACAAAATGGAGATCGTCCAAGTCCCTGCTTTGCAGGGGCCCTTGGAAACTTTGAATTCACTAATACTTGTACAACATTTAGTCAGAGACTCAGGCGAGTGCTCGATAAATGTTAGCTGCCTCTATTAGCCGCAGTAGTATTTGCATATAGTACTAACACACACATATCTTTGTGCACGTGCACTTTATGTCAGACAGGCAGAGACTTGAAATAATAGGCTTTTAGCATTGAAGTTCCAACGGTGCTTATCGCCAGGCAGGTCCAGACTGAAGCAAGAGTCACCACCTTCTTCTTCTGCCCCCCACTGTGGTGAAGTACACACAACATGCAATTTACATTTGGACTGTTTTGAAGTGCACGGTTCGGTGGCATTAAGAACATTCACGCTGCCGTGCGACCATCACCAGCACCCATCTCCAGAACATTTTTATCTCCCCAGACTGACGCTCTGCCCATTAAACAACAGCTGCTCTTCTGCCCCACCCCGACACCCTCTCTTCTACTTGGTGCCAGCATGGGTTTCCCTGCTCTAGGTCCCTCATCTAAGCCGAATCATACGTGTTTGTCCTTGTGTGCCTGGCTTGTTTCACTTGGCATAATGTCCTCGAGATCCATCAATGTTGTAGCAGGTGTCAGAATTTCCTTCCTTTTTAAGGCTGACTAAGGAGCCTTCATTTAAAAATCGAGGTATTTTGGGAAGACCATATGGTTTTAGCTTACACAGGCGATCATTTTCAATCCTCTCTTCTTTCTCTAGGTCTCATTGTATGAATATTCTAATGAGATCTAATGACAGGGCTTTCCTGGGGTGTTTCTCCACCAGGAATGGCTTTGTCCTTGAACTTGAACTTGGCCTGTGGAGTTAGAGAGGAGAAATACATTTGCATCGGCATTCTGCTGCTGAAGAAATGCATCATCTGGGGCATACAGTCAGGTTAAACCATGTAATACTATGGATATTTGATCATTTTCATGTACAAAATGACAATTTCAGATGGCTCGAACTAATTCTTTACCTCTCTGCTCCTCAATCATCACGTAAAACACAAAGTGAAAAATAGTGCGTACCTCGCAGGGCTGCTGTGAGAATTGAGTGTCCTAAGCCGGGCTCAGTGTTCAGCCTGAGCCTGGCCAGGAGAACCCTAGCAGCTGGTGCTACCGAGGGAGCTGGGGCCGTATGCCACCGCCTCCTACGGGGAGCAGGCCTCCTCCCGGGGCCAGGG